AAATAGCACGACATGCTGGACCCGAATTCGGTGGTCTCCACACAATTATACACTCTCCAGCATCCATTGATGTAAACGTATGTGATCGCCAAATTCGAATATCACTACCTGTAGTTTTTGTGAAATAATACCATCCATTTGTATGTTTATATACCCATGGATCAGCACCATCTTGAGCAATAACATTATAAAATGTGTCTACATTGAAAGCTGGTTGAGATTTAAATTCAATGTCTCGCACTGTAAATAAATCAAATTTCAAGTTTTTATTAGATTTAGCCAACTGTTAAAGTAAAACGTTTCAGTTTTTGTTATTTTTGAATAAATTGTATATTTGAATTACTTACTTTTCACAAAAAATTGATCTATTTCGGAGTAGTTAAAACTAATATTATATTGCTAGTGAGTTCTGCATCAAGAGAATTAGTCTCAAATGGTATCGTAATATTTATCGAAACCATTGATGCATTTTTATATGAAATTTTAGGAGAGACAATAATACTGTTGTTGGTTTTATGCATATGCACTCATATCTTTGATTCATTGTGAAAGATAAATTCTTTGATAAACAGCATATGATCAAAATTGAATAAAATAATGTAGATTATGATCCATATATATAACATAAGATATTTGAAGATTAATTGTGGTCTATTGATTTAGATATATATGTATATCGAATAGCACTTTGTTTTCGGTTCAAACTATTCGTAGAGACTATAACTCAAGGTATCTGAGTCTTTTTTTCACTTTCATGAAAAGTTCGATTCGAAAATTCATTCAGTGATGAATTATTTCACCTAACTTGTTGTCCTAGTTTTTCTATTATCTAAGTTATTTCTTTATCATCAAAATCAAATATCATACATTGTTTGAATAAGTTTCTGATACAGAAAATTTCATTTGCCATGCAGGACTTACGCTCTATTCCGCATAGAATGTGAATAGTTACCAAACGGGTCTTAAAGTCTAAGAAATTCTTCTTGTCTTAAAAATTTGAAGCTAGAACTTTTCGTTACAGAGCAACATGTTGCAAGATTTTATTGTACAATATATTACCACATTAGAAATTGGTTTTTTAGAAAGTAATGATGGATTTAAAAAACTCGCAATGATTTCTCACCATCTTCCCAGGTCGAGGATAACAACATCCGGTTCCAATGTCTTTGTGGAAGAAACTCGGCAGAAGACCGTGAAATGGTCATATACACAAGCTGGGATACAATGCCCACATTGCCAGTGATCGAATCAGGACAATGTGTTCTTAGTTCCGAGCTTCGACTGTTTTTCGAAGTTTTCTAGTCTAAACTGATGCTCGTACACTATCGTCTGGGTTGACTGGAATAATTTTCTGTGTGACAATCTTTCAGTTTATCTTAAAGAAATTTAAGTTTTGGGTAAAATTACGAATGTTTTACATATTTATCTCTGGAAAGCTATTATTCTTTTAATCTAAGAGAAGTTTTAGACAGATTTTTTCGAATATATCTCTAGAAAACTCTTTTTAGGTGGTGTAAATATGTCAATATTTTTCAAATTAGAATTCAAATATGATTTTTTCACTCTCTGTCATAATCTTCTACAAAAACACCAATTGATGATGCACAAATATATTGAACAATAAAACATTTCGATATTTTGTGCGTAATGAAAAGTCCAACCACCGAAACTCAACAGTTGGAGGTGGTCGAAAATAATGCCGTCCGTTTGTATGCTTATATACTTATGGATCAGCAGTATTTTCAGCTAGAACATTATAAAAATAGCTCATTGAAACTTAGGTAGAGTGAATATCAATTTAATGGCATTTCGTTTAACAAATTTTTCATTG